TGTGTGTGTGTGTGTACATTTTTAATTTTGTTTTTCTCCCCCCTTGGCAGGAGAGTGCCTTTAGTCTTGAAAAGTGGTTCCTAAGGAGGAATCGTAATGGCCTGTTTGTGCAAGGAATCCGCATGTAGGTCAATTTATTATTTATTTATTTATTTATTTTGTTTGTTTAAATATTTAGTTATATATATATATATATATGTGTGTGTGTGTGTACATTTTTAATTTTGTTTTTCTCCCCCCTTGGCAGGAGAGTGCCTTTAGTCTTGAAAAGTGGTTCCTAAGGAGGAATCGTAATGGCCTGTTTGTGCAAGGAATCCGCATGTAGGTCAATTTATTATTTATTTATTTATTTATTTTGTTTGTTTAAATATTTAGTTCAGTACCTGTTTTCAATACTGGGACTGTGTAAAAGGACAGTTTTGTCTTTCAAATTACACATGTAAGACTTGACAGCATCTTTGTTGTGTTTCATCCGGCTCAGGGAGGACAGGATACCATGGAACAGTAACATTATTCTAGAGAGAATTTCCAGCACTGTGTTGAAGACATTGTCCGGCAATGTTTACAAACTGGTGGGGAAGATGAATCTGGATGTGGATACTGGTAAGCTGGATGGAGTGTGAAATTGGGAAGGTGTTCCTAATGTTGTGATCTGTCGAAAGATATTTCCACTGACCCATGTATCACATTTTTCTGTGATAGACTTTCCCCGTTGGCTTCTGAGGAAGTTTGCACATGGCTTCCCTTCAAATTGGAAAGAGCTTTATGAGAAGTGGTTGTCAGAATTAAAAGAGTAAGACTTTTCTGCACTATTTTAGATGTACAGACTGTGTTCTTCTGAAGATGTTTTATTGGAAACCAGTACATCGGTTTCATTGTTTATAACGGATTTTGCTTCATTAGGTGGCGGCATCACCCGAATTTGTGAGAAAATCCTAACATGTTGTAGTCCCTCTAACCAACACTAGGGCGGTAGTTAAGCCATAATTGTCCCAAGAGAGTATTTTTTACTCATCTAAACAGCACCAACAGTGCTGGGGTGATGTTCATTTCCATTCACATTTGGTTTTTACGGTTAAATCCACAAAAATGAAGATAAACGGCTGATGACAACATAACCACACCCCATCCTAAATAGCCACTTTGCTTTTTTTCTCGAAATGTGAAGCCTTCCAAATAAGTCGGCTTTTAAAACTACTTTGATATCCGCATTTTCCATAATGAGTCATCTTTTTTCAGTCTGACATTCACCATTTTTCAATTTTAATTACCGGTAATTGACAGCATTTCAGTCAATCATCAACCCTTCAGCAGTCTTGTGTAATTTCTGCAGGTTTTGCAAATTGTAGTGATGGAAAATATTTGCATCAAAAGTACTTCTTGGGTATAAATTAAATGCAGCTAAGTATGGTTGCAACTGAGTGTGAGTTTGGCTTCTTGCCCTGTGTGCCGTTTGTAACCTCAAAATGTTGCATGTTAGGACCGTCTTGGTTAGTTGGGACGCCCCATATAAAACACGCACGTACACACACACATTTTTAATCAAGAGCCGGATTTGTTTCCTTCTAGCAGCAGGAGAAAAGTGAACACTGAAAAGAGAAGCAAAGTTACCAAATCAACAACAGAGACGTCTGCTCTCAACCCTACGATGAAAAGACCTAAGAAAAATGCAGTCAGAACAAATACAAGACAAAAACAACCTCAAGGTGAATTATAATTTGATCAATCTGCAGCATTCCAGACTCTTTTTGCTCTCTTCATTCATATGTGTGCTTTTCTTTTGCAGCGGACACTTATACGTCCTCCAAACAAGTGACTCGGAGTGGTCGGTTGATCAAGCCACCCCTTGATTATTGGAAAGGAGGCAGGGTCATTCTGGACGCAGACATGAATGTTACCATCTTTGAATGTTACAACACCATCGTCCTCAGCCCTGTAAGTACCACAATTTTTTTTCCAGCGTGTCTTCCTTTTATCTAAAATATTGGACCTGTTTTGACAGCTATTGCTTGTTGTTGACAAACTTGTTCATGAGAAAACATTTTGCCTCGTCATTATGTATTTCATACAAAGCTATGGTATGCCATTCAAGACAACTATTCATCTGCATGCATGATTATGCTGACTTTACCAACCCTAAAAACTCAACTCTACAGTATACACAACTTTATTTAAAAACAACCACAGCTGCATACAAAGTGCTGCACATAAAGTAAAAAAAAAAAAAAAAAAAAACAACCGACATTTTCAGTTTATTTTTTTTTTTTTTTTTTTTAAAAAAAAAAAAAAAAAAAAACAACCGACATTTTCAGTTTATTTTTTTTTTTTTTTTTTTTAAAAAAAAAAAAAAAAAAAAACAACCGACATTTTCAGTTTATTTTTTTTTTTTTTTTTTTTAAAAAAAAAAAAAAAAAAAAACAACCGACATTTTCAGTTTATTTTTTTTTTTTTTTTTTTTAAAAAAAAAAAAAAAAAAAAACAACCGACATTTTCAGTTTATTTTTTTTTTTTTTTTTTTTAAAAAAAAAAAAAAAAAAAAACAACCGACATTTTCAGTTTATTTTTTTTTTTTTTTTTTTTAAAAAAAAAAAAAAAAAAAAACAACCGACATTTTCAGTTTATTTTTTTTTTTTTTTTTTTTAAAAAAAAAAAAAAAAAAAATCAACTGAAAATGTCGGTTGTGCCATTGGAAGAGTTAATTGAACACAAAGTTGTAGTTTGTCCTTTGGTGGAGGAGCTTTTCCAGTGATTGTTCTGCCCTTTCCTCATATAGAGAAATGAACAAAGATACATGATTAAAATATTAAAGAAAAAACTCGCGCGCACACATGCCATGATGAGCAACAGCCATAACGGCCACTAACATGAACAAAACAGAAAAATAAAGTAGAAACAAGAGTTTGTGAAAAGGAAATCAGTCCTACCCTTAGTCGGAGATCATGGGACGCACTTTTGCAGTGCGTTAACTGCATGAACATCACTATCATAGCTCACGTGTACCCTTTTTTAAAATGCTTCTCCTGGCGCTATTCTTTGCCAGTGCCATTGAAGAATTGCAGATGAAACAAACTTTGAATGAGAATTTAAAAAAAAAAAAGACAGAGAGAGATGATGCAACAGCTCTGGCTGCAAGTGCAGACTGCTGACTGCTAACAACTTCCAGTGATGCAAGTAACGCACTACTGTAGGTTAAAGGTGACCTGCTTTGTGTTATTTTATTACATTTTTTATTTATTTATTTTTTTTGTGAAACTGATAGGATGTTTAGGGTGCAGTGGACACTAACATAAAATATATAATATTAATAATGCCGATTTTCTTGGCCTGACGATTTACATATGGTATTTACTACCGGTTAGCAACAAAAGTTTCAAAAAGAATGAGTTGGACAACTCTACAGGCAAAACAAGGGTAACGACACAACTCTGCATCCGGACTAAGTCATGCTAACAATGACCACTCGTATGCTAATAAAAGTATTTAAAAAATTGTAAAATACAATTTTTATTGTACATTTGGAGCACATACAAAATGTGCGATTACATAGGAATTTGTGACGGTTGTTATGTTAATTTCTGCAGAATGTTGCTCCAGAAGTGTATATGGAGAAGTCTCGAAAACCTGCCCAGGCTTTTCTTCTCAGCGATAAAGGTAAATGCTAATTTGCCTGATCCTGTCAGCTGCTGCCAAGCCACATCACGACAATGTAGTTGTCCCTCACTATATCGCAGTTCACTTGTGCACTTACAGCCGCACAGCCCTTTACTCTACCATCTGTCTGACAGGGAAATAGGAGTTCATATCATCCAGAGAGATGGTCTCCAATACCTTTGAAAAGACTATTCAAAAACATAAAAAAAAATAGAATTGAATCCATATACTGGCAACCAATTCTCTTATGGTTATAGGTCATAAACCACGTGAATCTATCAAAGAGAGCGTCCAGCCGCCGCCACTGACAAAAGACAAGACTATCAAAGAGAGCGTCCAGCCGCCGCCACTGACAAAAGACAAGACGTCGCTTCGCAGACACAGTCAAGTTCAAATTCAACCTGACGAGAATCCCCCTGTTTCAACCGAAGCAGCAGTGAAGCGGCGAAGCCATCGCACGGCCAACTCTCATGAAAAGTCGAGCAATGAGGATGCGCGACCATCAAGCAAACCCCAAAAGCTCCCCCCACGAGGATCCAAAGGAAAAGTGTGCAATGCCCCTCCAGTAAACTCCAGGAAAAAACACACGCCCTCTCAGGTTTCCGCAATTAATAACAAATTATCAGAGCCTGATGAGCAGCAGGACGAAAGGCGAGCCAATCACATTGCTCGCACTGATGAACAGGTGTCCAATGAGGCCACAATGCCAAAACCCCCCAAATTTCCTTTACAAGAATCCAAAAAGAAGGTGCTCAATGCTCGTCCATTAAAGAGGTCGAGAATAAAACACACGTCTTCTCAGTTTTCTGCTCTTGATAAACAATTATCAGAGTCTAACTCACTGGAAGAGCAGGAGGTGCTTTCGACAAAGAGGAAAAAACGGGACAAGAGGAAGCACACGCACACATTGCCATCTCCGAGTAAGCCCAAAAATCTCCCTGGACAAAGGTCCAAAAAGAGTGTGCTCAACACACCACCTTTAGTGAGGTCAACGAGGAAACACCCTCCCCCTGATTTTTTTGCTGTTTATGACATATCATCAGAATCTGAGGAGGAGGAGGAGCCGCACAAGAGGCGAAGTCATCACACCACCTGCTCTGATGATCAGTCAGACATTGAGAACACACTGTCATCTCGAAGTAAATCCAAAAAGCTTCCCCGACAGGGGTCTAAAACAAAGACGTCCAATGCTCCTCCACTGACAAAGTCAGGGAGAAATTGCGCTCCTCCTCAGCTTCCTGCCGCTCATGAAAAATTACCTGAGTCTTCGTCTCTGGAAAAGAAGGCGGCGCTTTCTACAAAGAGGAAGAAGCAGGGCAAAAGGACGCCCAGGAAGCAAGACAGGAATCCTCAAAGCAAGAGCCTCAAACAAGTGTCGCTTGCAAAGGCTTTAACACAGTTGCCGCAATCTAAAAAGCTTTCCAGCAGAGGATCCGATGCCTGTCCTCAAGGCCAAGATGAGGACGAGTGGACGCAGGATGAGTTGACAAAACTACAACAGTAAGACTCACAGTCACCCACGTGCTTGTTTCCCAACCATTTTTGGAGCCAAGGTTCACATGGGCTGTGTCAGAAACCTTCCAGTACTGGGGTCACCAACTATACAATATATTTCAAACTCAAACTTTGAATATTCTCCTCCAGTGTTGACCACACGATCAACCAGCATGTCTACAAAGAGCAAAGAGATGAGACTTGTGGCAGGATAACTCATGGCAACACACCTGATCACAATACCCTATTTTTTAAATCCTCATTTGCAAGATGCTCCAGGGTGGGTACTTCGAAGGGGAACATTTTTAATTGGTAGTTTGTATTTGATATTTTTGATAAGATCAATCCAGGAGATTTTCTGACTCCCTTTGTACACTACTCCCCAAAAAACGGGGATATTTGGCTTTGCGTTGAAAGTTTAGGATGATCCTAACATCCACCCTCACCTTTACGGTGGGAATTTGGATCCAATGTTCATTTGCAGTAAAAAGGAGGATAGTTACGCAATGTGTTAATGATGCATGACATCTTTATTTTAAAATTCCAACAAAAAGACAGGGTGCTTTCCAGGCTCAGAAGCATGTCTGAGAAAGTTCAGTGAAAACTTCAACAAAAAAATAGCCACCCAAAGTTTCTACAGTAAGTAGTTTTTGCAAAATGTCAGTATCACTGAAATGTTAATGTTTCACTTTGTTTTAAATTGAAGCAAAAGCAAAAAGTGCAGCAACTTTCCAAGCTCTGCAGCATGTCTGAGAACGTCAAGTGAAAAAAAAAAATCCTGAGGTTCACTCAATTTTAACATGATCTTTTAATTCACCTGCCGTTTTTTTTTTTTTATTTGTTTAAGCCCAATGCCGATATGCCTCAAAATGCCAAATAGCGGCGCCGATAATCGGCCCAGCTGATAATCAGTCTATCCCGACTTCAAACAGGATGTTCGAGACATGATCAAGATCCCGATATTGATGCTTGAATGAAGTGGAAAAATTCGCAAGGCACACAAAGACAAAAAAACTCTCCACGCTCACAATCATACCGAGGGATGATTTAGAGTGTTCCATCAACCTGCCATGCATGTTTTTGAGAATGTGGGAGGAAACCGGGGTACCCGGAGAAATCCCACGCAGACGCGAGCTCAAAGTACCCTTAATTTAAAGAATGTCTCAAATATGAAATAGATTTAGAAATTCCCAATTTAAATTCCCAAGGAATTTTACCAGAAAAAAACAATTATTCTGGACATTTTCTACCCCTGTTTAACCTTTGTCGTTGGCGCATTTTAAATTTCATCCTTATATTTCACTCAAGTTATTTGAGAGTAGTGTACTTTGTTGGCAAAGATGACTAAACGCATAGATTGTTTGTTCGAAATAATTCATTTTTCAGACCAATCAGGTGAAATTGGATCATTTCCCACAGTCCACCTGATCATTTCTCTTGGCCCAATTGTTGTGAATCACTGCCACGCATTGCAAGAAATTCTGGACAGCAGAAACTCACATCTGTGCCCACGTAACTTGCTCTTTGGCAGGGCTGTGTCCAGCTACCCCTCGCACACACCATTCTACTGGGCAAAGGTGGCCATGATGGTTGGCACGCGCTCTGCTGAGGAGTGCCACAACAAAGACCTGGCCTTGCAAGACTGCCACACCCCTACGGAGAGCACCCGCAAAAAACAAAAGAAAAAGGCGGCGAAAGCAGCAAAAGGCACAGGTAAGGCAAAGGCCTTGCATGAGGCATCATGGAGGGGGATGTAGAATAAGTTTGCTTTTCATGCTCCTTGTGGGATGTCACAGAGCGGCGTACAAAGCAGTGTTCGAGACATACTGAGGTGGGGAGAGAAAAAAGCAGCAATTCTACTGGAATAAAGTCAAAATATTATGAACATAATCATACACCCTCGTTGAGGATCTTGTGAAGTTGGATTCATCCACCATTAAAGAAGAACGACACTATAACAGGAATCAAGTCAGAATTACACGACACCTCGTGCTTGGGATTTCTGAAATTTGGGGTTCTAATCTCAGCTCCAGCCTTCCTATGAAGACTGTGTGTTGTCACTGTCATCGTGCTCATGTGCGTCTTCTCCAGATACTCCGGCTGCCTCCTACATTGGAAAAAAAAAAGAAGACGTTGGGTGGATTGAAGGCTCTAATTTGTTCATACACGCGCTGACAAAATTGTTAGTTCCTTTTTGTTGATGAAAAAAATGATCACAACATAACTTGAAACTGACAATAGTAATGTATAGAAAGACACTGAAAATGAGCTCATGTTGTTTAAAGGGGAAGTCAACTGCCAAATTTCATTTACAACAATAAGTTCTGTGCGCCTTCACGAGTCTAAACACGACATTCTGATGAATATTGTGTTTGTGGAATATGACTAAAGCAGCAAATTCCAGCTGTTTTTAGCCCTCTCGAGGAGGCTGCCATTCTGCCACTTCTGTAAACTGAAAATGACATCACACTTGCTCGGGAAAGGACCAATCACGGCTCAGCTGTTTTCTGAAGCTGAGTCATGATTGGTTGTTAGCTGATCCCTGAGCAATTGTGATGTCATTTTCAATTGATGGTAACTGGCAAAATTTTTCAGGTTTGATGGGTGCCTTTTCCAGACTGTATGTTGTAGCTTTGTTCACATTTGTCGAAGTTTTTATATCAACACTCGAAAATAGTCACACTTTTTTTTCTGAGCTATTCTTGTTCGTCTATTCGCTATGTGTTTGTTTCTTTCTCATACTGCAACTTTGATCTAGCTGTCTGGCAGTGGGCAACACGTTTTGCTCCAGAATGCCTTGGTTGTCTTAAAATGTCTGTGCGACCAGACACAGCGCTGGTTCAAACCACCCAGTGCCAGGTTGAGCAAAGCAGCCCCAGAATATAACTGAACAGTAAAACTTATGACACATGTTAAATATATGTTTTCATAAGTTGAAATACATTTTAAAAAACTATATCTTTAAAAAATTATTGCTATGGCCGCTCTACAGCATTGTTTTTTCAGCTATCGCTGGAAGGTCTGGAATACATCCCTTGCAACAAATGGTACAGCATATGTAATTGAGTACAAACTCTGTGCAAACATTCAAATTTTCTTTTCCAGGCCATCCCATCATATCTGCAGGCATGAGAACCTTCAAGAGAAAACAGCAGGTGCGTCAGTTCCTGGAGACAATGCCTCGAGAGAATACAGATGACGCCTTCAGCGCCACACACAATCAGTGCTTTGAGGTTGGCATCGCTTCTTTTTGCAATGGGTCTGTTTTGTAACGGTTTTTCTGAACACTAATTGAGCCAAGGCACATTTTATCATGTATATTTTACATTCGAAAAATCTCCAAGCGCACCACCAAACAAAATGCCATGTCAAGTATATACCATGTATTGAAATAATTACAAATGATAATACAACAAATTCTATTTAATCTGAGGCAATGAGTACCTTTGCAAGTTCATTGCACCTTTTGTCTTCTTGTGACAGAGCATTCAACTGTTCCTCCTGTCGTCATACACCCCCTTGCAACGATACATTATGTTAAATGAATGCATAAATGCTAAACTGCATCATTTCCGACGGCCTGTTTGGGGAAACACTGCTCGAACGCCATCCAAGTTGGAGATGAGCTCACACATTTTCCCACATTTTGTTGCCATTACAACAAGTAGATCCCGTCCATGTGTTTGGATGGAGAGCAGGACTTCAAAATAAGCCAGTTGGAGCCACTGACACCCGTTTCACTGCATTTCCCTCAAGTGAAGACTCCTCGGTGTCTACATGCCTCTCCTGGACTGGTGTATTCTACAAACAGGTGACAGCTTTGTCTCAGATCGCACCACAAAATTCAGGAAAGCTTTGTGTCAATATAAGAGTTTTCCACTGGGACGTATTATGTAAATTTTCACAGTTCAAAATATTTTTCAAGGTGTCCTAAAAAAGTTCTGAAATTTGGGCCATCGTTTATAAATGGAAATGTTGAGTGTTTGTCTCCTAACCCAAAGCTTGTGTGTTTGATCCTGAGCCGGCGTGACCATGAAGTGTCCTTCAGCAAGAGCGTGAAGCTCCAATTGTTCCTGATAGTGTGTCATGAATAGGAGTATTAAAACAGTTTGACTACCTTGCAAGTAGAAAAGTGCTGTGCAGCCATTGTGGCTGTGCTGCAATTTTGTGGAACATATTAAAGGTGGAATCGTTCAAATTCAAATGATGCCCAACGATAATTAGGAAACAAAAATTAGTCTCATTCAAGATATGTCCTTCATATGTCTGTTCTGCTGAATGATTCGTTTTGTGGCCCCCTTCCCTTTTTCAAGGAGCGATGAGGACAGGTATGTCTTTCAACTGCAGAAAGCGATAAAACAAAATCAGGTCAACGGCCACAAAAACGTTCCAGCAAAGGTACTATTTATATCCTTGTCAGTCAATTTCAAGAAGCAGATTACTTACTACTTTCTTTTATGATCCCTATCAGGACTTTGTGCCCACACCAGCAGTTAAAAGAAGAGCGAGACCATTTGAAAAAACAGGTAGGTTTCATTGGCAGGGTTCCCATCGGGGAGTTGATGATGTGAAAATGCTTTTAAATCCAATTTAAATGTATTTAGGAAGCAAAAAATGAAGACGATCATTTTTACAATATTTGCTTATTAGGCTGAACATCAAATTTAAACTTTTTTTGAAGCCGTATGATTTTTTTCCTATGCATTTTTTTAACATTAATTACAATGTTTCTAGCATAATACCAACTCACTAATTCATATGAAGTAAAATAATTTTAATTTCGTGTATTTCTGTCCAAAATGTGTCATTTTTCCTCAACTTTAAGACACTGTAAAGTGTTTTAATGTTATCATAGAAAGACACTGCTTTTATATACACAAAACAAGTTAGTACACATTAAAATGCTTCAATAGCGTTTTGAAATTCTGTGTTCTTTCAGACCTAAAGAATGAGAAAAGTATGCATCCACCTTCAACCCCATTTTTTCCTCCCTTAGGAAACGATTCCTTTGTCATGAGGGAGATGTTTCCAGAGAAAGCTGCCATGTTGTCCGACAGTGGGGAAGAGGAGGATTTTTATTTCTCGGACAATGACTGAAGTAAATTGACTTCAGGCAAATTTAAACCAGAACTGTCAAATCCTGGTCCAGAACGTCAAAACATTGCCTCAACCAAACAGGTAAACGAAGCTCAGCAGGATTAGAAGCAAGTGTGGCTAAATTCAAACCGTGGTAGGGTTTTTACTTTCCGGACCTGGATTTGACGCCTCCTGATCTGAACATGTAAATCCTGTTGAATTATGGACAAATATGTTTATAGTTTTTTGAATCTAAAAGAGTAATAGCTGTGTTCCCTTTAATTGTTGGATGTTTTTTGGGGGGCGCAGTGGTTCAACAAATTGAGTCTTGGCTTAGTTGAAGAATAAATCTTGTGGGATGTTGTTACTTTCTAGGACTGTTGTAGAAGTCATATTTTGAAAATGTGATTGAACACAAGCAGATATTTCTAGAAGTGTTGCATATTGGTGTTTAACTGTTTCCTGTTAAATCATTGTTGTTATTGTGAGAAATCATTAAAATGATCATCTTCACATATATGAATATCATTCATTATTAAGAATACTTTACGATGGAAGGTTCATTCAAGCAAATATCTTCTTTCAGAAGTGCATGTGCAACATATGTGACATGGTGTTTGAGTGAGCATATTAACAGTGTGAGCATATTAACAGTGTGCCGGACATAGTAGTGGTGATGTCACATGTCTAAAATGTCCAGCTGTATTTGTCTATGGTTTGTAGTTGGAAATAAGCTGTATTTTCACATGGTGACAAAAATAGTTCTTGATTGACTTTTGAACGCAATAACTGGTGCTTTTCCTTCAAAATCAAGTTTCTTGCCACAACTTCGAAATAATTCCCTGAAAGTTGAGGTAAAACATGTATTGGGACACGTCAAATTGAACCAATATTATTTGAAAATATATCGTGATATCCTTTGAATCGTTTATTCCTGGAGAGATGCATACCCCTAAGTTGCATCTCTAAGGGCTATCAGAATCATCTTTATTAGCCAAATATGGAAAAACACACCAGTAATTTGTCTCTGGTAATTTAATCCACACTTGTTAATACAGTAACAAATTTCTAATTAGGTTTTTAAACTAGGGTTAGGGTTTCAGAGTATAATATTAAACTACCACCCACTGAAAAAAATCAGATACTTGTCACATATGGGCAAAATGATGATAATAATAATAACCGGTGCGAACATCGTCGCAGTAATCTTTCAGCAGACCTCAGAGACCTTGTTGGTGTGGTGTAAAAGCGCCATTCAGTGCTTTAGAAGCAATAGCATTTTCAAACGAATTCTAAAATGTATTAGGAGCTAGAGGAGAGACGGATGTAGGCTACAGGTGTGCTCCCGTTAAAAGTCGAGCAGCAGCGTTCTGGCCCAATTCTACTTCTCAAGTCTCTTGGTGTACCTATTGAAATGGCCAGTGAAACATGTCTTTGTAGGTCGCTGGTCACGTGAGGACTCATGTGATCAGTGCACCTCTCAGCAGCCTGCCAGTAAGTTAACGTACCGTCTCACAACAAGCACACAGACGGCGCGAAGGACACAATGGACACGCCGTAAGTTTCACTTTATTTGGAGTTTATTCAATCCCTTTAGTATGGAAATAGCTGAATTGACGGCTGTGACGTTACTTTAGAGGCACATGTTTTGAAGTCTTTTTGGTTCCGAGACATGACCTACATCCGCGTTCGGTTATTAGCCGCTAGCTAATCCAGCAAGATAACAGCTGTAAAAAATGGATGAAGTGCACATGCTTTGGTTGTGATCCGAGGTAACCCGCAGTATTATTTTTTTATTCTGTTAGATATTCAACATTGCAAGCAGAGTCCTTGGTCCACGGTGAGGTTTCGTTCCGACAACGCAGTCGAACGCAGATATTGTATAAAAAGCACTTGTAGTTAACAAATAAAATAGAATAAAATGAAAAACTGGGAATGCAGTCGTAGGTTTCTCGGTTTACGACGAAAGGCGCATCATTATTACATGTACGTAGGTCGAAACGTGCTGTTTGACGCTACCCGTTTTACGCTAAGAGCTTACATCCAGTATACAATATAAAGTATATTACTATTATATACTTTATATTATTTCCCATATCTCTTTCTCATCAGGTTTGCAGTGGTCATCCCCTTGTTGTTCAGCCCATTGGTGTGGAGTGGATACCTGGAATATGACCAAAATGTCCTGTGAGTACATTTTCCAATCTTAACATCAACTTTTTGTCATCCATTGACCAAAACAACCTATTTTGACACATGAGCTCTCCTAACATTTGTATAGCAAGCATTTGTGAATAATGCCTGCCCAAACGTTGCCTACATTAATTGTTTAAATACTCGGTATAATACATAGTTTGTTTTCTTTTCTTCTTTCTTCTTTCTACCCATTATCTTGCTGCTGTGGACTGTAATTTTGACATTATCCTTAAAATAGTAAAAAATGCACCAGAAGTGCGGTGATGCCAGCATGTATGTCACGGCTTCACAACCTGTAAACATACCAATTCCTACTTTCCTTTTTAGCAAATTCATCTTGGTTTTGATTTGGTCTTAGATAATTATACTTTTAAAAAGATACACAAATCACAAATGACTATCTTTTCTTGACCACTGATACACAAATCACAAATGACTATCTTTTCTTGAACACTTACTATATCTTATATTAAGCAGCTTGCCATTGACACTTGACCACCTCATAATTTCCACCACAGGACTTTTTCCTACATTGTCTTTGAATTGAATTGAATACAACTTTATTGTCATGAGATGTTTACTATGTTTTCATGCCATCCACCCGACAAGGAGCGCAAGTGGAATCTTTCATCACGCCGCTGTCAAGTCAAAGGGGCAGTCAGCACGTAGCCAGTGCTAGCTACTCTTTCCCAAATTGACAGGGGCTGAGGATAATTGTTTTCCATCTTTTGTTCTCTTCAGGGTGCCCAGGGACTGGACTCGTGTTGGTCGGCTCAGGCCAACCGAAGAGCTTGAACTGACCTTTGCACTCAAGCAGCAGAATATTGACGTGCTGGAAGAGACACTCAAAGTGGTGTCTGACCCCGACTCACCTCAGTATGGTAGGACAACCAACCAAGCTCAAATTTTTGGCATACTTGCCGTGATAAAATGGCAACAATATTTGTACAGCATCCAACAGTATTTACTGTGGGAAACACTTCCTCATTGTATGAAGTTTGAAAAGCAGCTTTCGTTTCCCCAGATAAGGAGAGTCTCACTTTGCTCTTTCGATTCCTCTTTCAGTAAGTACCGTTCTAGCATGTGAGCTGTTTTCCATAGGATTTGTCCTCATTAGGATCTCGGGTGAGCTGGGGCCTATCCCAGCTGATTTTGTGTGAAAGACGTGGTACACCCTGGACTAGTTACCATAGAGACAAAAAAACATTCACATTCTTTCACATTGACAGCTACATTGTTTTTGGAAAGTATTCACAGCACTTGACACCCGCCCCCCCTTCCCCCAAATGTTAAATGAAGTACACTTACATAGCGGTTTTATCTATACCATTTGGTGCCCCAAACCCTTTAGAAAGCTTGTGCTGATGCAATTCTCCTGCCTCAGGTAAATACCTCCAACTTGAGGAGGTGGCCTCCCTCGTGCATCCATCTGACCCGTCCCAAAAGGTGGTGCGCAGCTGGCTGCAGAATCATGGCGTCACAAACTGCTTGACGGTTCACACTCAAGACTTCTTACAGTGCACATTGACTGCAGAGTAAGCATATCTTTTTAAAAACGTCTTTCTTATGTCCCTGGAGTGTTCCAATCAGGGTTTGAAGCTACCGAGACCAATTTCATGTATTCGGTGTAAATGTCTTTTTTTTTTCTTCTTGTTTTCTGATTTTTCTTCAATGATCGATTAGTCTGTGTATTTTTTCTTAATTGATTAATCAGATTTAAATTAAAAACATTCCTTTTGTTTATTTTTTGGCGATTAACTTATTTTCACACTTGTGACACTGTAACACTTCAAAATATTGCCGATACAGTTTCAAAAGGTTTTGGATGGTGGCCATCCATTATTGCCGATGGGAAATTGCAGGTTGACCAGCATCATGGGAATAGATCAATTACTTTGTTCCAAATGTCATTCCACATCTTGTCAGCCAAATACCATAATAAGCCATCGCGTCTCTAACCTACTTTCACAATCTCACAAAAAATTACCAATAGGCATGCTAAAAAAAATCTAATTGATATATTTGACTTTCTGTGTCGAGTCTCAGTCATCCGGCTCAAGGTAACGTGCAAAGGATGACCAAAGCAACCGTACTCTTTTTTTTATTTTTATTTTTTAAATTGAAGGAATGATTTTTTTTTTCTTGTTTTCTGAAAATGTTCAAAAATTACACTAGCAGTGATGCATTGAGGCTAATGTACTCGATCATTGGTTGTGTTCTTGGCTTGTGCATCAAGGGTTGCAGAGGTTCTTCTACCTGGCAGCAGGTTCCAGCGTTATGTCAGAGACGGTCGATCCATCGTGAGGTCCTCAGCACCCTACTCCGTTCCCGATGACATCGCACAACACCTTGACTTTGGTGTGGCTCATTTGTTGACATCGGACATGGCCACTGACTTCCACGTGTTGGAAAGTTGGATTTTGATCTACTTTTATGACAGTGGGAGGGCTTCACCGCTTCCCTCCGAGAGGACACAAGCCTGGCTTGGCCTCATCTAAGTCGAAGGGGATCCAGCGGAGCGATGACGCCGTTCACTTCGGAGTGACTCCCGCCGTTTTAAGGACCCGTTATAATCTGACAGCAGCTGATGTGGGATCAGCTCGGAACAACAGCCAGGCTGTAGCTCAGGTGCGACCCTCACTATGAAAATGTTGCAGGACAGACAACATTTTTCCTTTTATGACATTTCCAGGTTCTTTCCTGGAATCATTTCTTTCATGTCCTCCTTCCTTTCTTTCCCTCGGAGTTGCTTTTTATTCTTGCATCTAGGGCCGCTGCTAACAGTTATTTTAATGGCCGATTCATGTGTTGATTATTTTATCAATGAATTGATGATTTAAAAAAATTTTCACGTTCTTCCTTTCTTTGTTGAAAACTACTTTTCTGCCTTTCTTTGATACATCTACAAGATGGCTTTAGAATTCATTTACTTTGTTTTTCTGTCAAATTTGCCATTACTCACAGTAGTTATAAAAGAAGTAACGGTAATTTCAAAAGTGTATACCTAGTTTTGGCCCACCTTGTGTTTTTATAGTACTGAACAATCACACCGTTTTGTACAACTTCACTATGAGTGATGTAATGCAAGAACTGTGTTTAAAAAATATTCCTGAGTACTGCAGAACTCTATTGTATCACAGTGAAAGTGTTTTCCATCATTGTCGCCCTCTAATGTAACAAGTAAGGCAACCAAAATATCAAAAATGGCCGTGATGCAAAAGCAGTTGTACACCTGTTAACAACAGTAATCAAAATTGCCCATGATTAGCAATTTAAGGGAAAAATGTTTGGTCAACCTCTTGTGTTGAATATTCTGAGATTGTTCAGGAGTACCTGCTGACGGACGTGTCCAGTAGTTATATACTGTAATGCATTTTTGGGCATCGGCTATTTGTTTCTGTTGTAGTTCCTGGAGCAGTACTATAGCCCTGCAGATTTGGCGGAATTTATGAGGTTTTATGGTGGCAGCTTCCAGCATCTGTCCAAGGTGGACCGTGTCGTGGGGACCCAGGGCACCGAAAAGCCCGGTGTAGAGGCCAGTCTGGATGTGGAGTACATCATGAGCACTGGGGCCAACATCCCCACGTGGCTCTTCACAAATCCAGGTCTGTAACCAAAGTCACATCTAGTAGTGTATGGTCATTGTAGCACAACATCTGCACTTCATTTCATGTATATTTTTACTAGAGGTGTCAAATTAACGCGTTAATTGCAAATAATTACAAGCATATTCAGTGCATTATGTATTTTAATCGTGTTAATCTACATTTGAATCTATAACTTTGTTGTTTGTGTAGGTGGGTTGCCTTTTTATAATATCCATTTTTATGTGTTGGCTTCCGGTGTTCGAGTTGTTGAGGGTGGGAAAACAATGGTCATTCACAGCCTGAAGCGGTCATTATGTTTGGGCGTGTTAGCAGAAGCTGATAGGCTCCCATTGGAGTTGGGAGGGCCAGCTAAGCAGCGGTGAGGAGTTCTCGGCCTAATGAATGGAAAACTTCTATTCGAAAAACGCCCTGACGGCAGTATAGATAAAGGTAGAGTGTTGTGCCTAATTTGGAAGAAGGAGTTTGCTTACCACCGAAGCAGCTCAACTTTAGCCTACCACATCAATGCAAAGCACCCAGTCGCGAGTGCAGCCACAGTGAACGTTAGCACCGAAAGTGTTAGCGATATAGCGAGCCAGAGCAAAGCTCTTTGCCAAACTACACTCGAGGAGAATTCCCCGCGTATGAGGCATGAAGTCAGCGTAGCTGCTGTGTCCGCAGTAGCCTATTGGAAGTGGTTGATGTTTATTTCAGCACGTTATTTTGTAATTATGAGCAGTTATTTTTGAAGTGCTAACTTACAGCACTGTGATTTAAGGGTCTCTTTTTTTATTTTTTTATTATCTGAAGCAAGTTCAGTGTTCAGTACTTGTATTGCTCAGAAAAGTCTTCTTACTGTTTTTGACATGTTAACCTAAGCACTTTTTATGGACCTGATGTTCTATTTTATTTGTGTTTTGTAATTCTTTGAAGATTTACAAAAACAAACAAAACAGTGATATTCCCCCTCGTGGTCGAAACTAAAGGTTGCAGGTAGGACTTGGGACTAGTCACAAATACAGCAGAAAGTAAATGGCTAGTACTGCATCTGCTCAAGTCTGTTTAAAACCAATGAAAGACTTTATCGTGCCACTTTTTTTTTTGTGATATCCATCTTTTGATCTGCCTCAATAATGTACTGAATTTAAAATGAAAATAAGGTTTTTCTTAGCAAACTTTAGATGAGATTAAAATAGAGATTAATTAGATCAATTAATTACAATCATAATTAATCTCACTATTTTAAAAATCGCTTGACAGCACAAATTTGTACTCTACTTATGTATTCGTGCTGACATAGCTCTTGGATTGTGTGCTCTTCCCTGATTCTCGATTTATTCATCCGTTTTCTATTCTGCTTATCCTCATAAGCATGGTGGGTGATCATCCCGGTTGTGTTCCAGGTCGTCACGAGTCCCAAGAGCCGTTCCTGCAGTGGGCGGTCCTGCTTAGCAACATGTCTGACCTGCCTTGGGTGCACACCATCAGCTACGGGGACGACGAGGACAGTCTGTCCACTGCCTACATGCGGCGCATCAACACCGAGTTCATGAAGGCCGGCGTCAGGGGCCTCTCTTTGCTTTTTGCTTCTGGTCAGTAATAGGAAGCAACACGACTATGAAATTGGATAGCTGATTAAATGACTAAGTCTATGAGGGATACATTTGTTTCTTACTTCTGCCGAGGAAGTTTTGAGAGTTTTGGAACAAAAATTGGTTTTCAACAAACTATAGATTACATGTCATGGTAAAATCCCGTGTTGTGGACTTTTTTGTTTCTGCAATTGTTTTGCTGATACGCCCTCTTGATAATACACCATCGTTTTAGGTTAGTTTTTATTTGTTGTCTTTTACAATGTGAAGCGTTTGCGTGCATGAGGTTAAAAAAAAAAAACAAGATTGCAAGTATTAAGTCAACTGCAATTCTCAAGCAACTGTTTGAGCTTCCTTCCTCTATACGAGCGTACTGCAAGCAATATCAAAATAAATACATTTAAAATAAATCTAGAAAAGCTCATGTATGATTTTAATAGACAAAGACAACAGAAAAGGAGATTTGCACTCTAATTCTATTAGTTTTTGTTCGATTTATAAACGGAAGATGTCATTTGGGTTAGTTTTAGTTTAAGCATTTTTGTTTTATTTTATTGCGTTAACCACAATGGGTTTTTTTTTTTCAATTTTATTTTTAGTTATTGCAATAGTTTTTATTAACTATAATAACCTTGGTGTGCACTTGAGTTATTTTTAAATCAGACTGATCTTGTGTTCAGGTGATAGCGGGGCCGGCTGCTGGCACGTATCTAAAGAACAAAACTCCTTCCGGCCCAGTTTTCCCGCCTCAAGGTAACAACTCTAGACCCTGCAATCAAACTCAGGACAGTCACAAATTGTACCTGTATTTAAAAAAGTTGAATAAAATCTTGCTTGCAGCCCTTATGTGACCACGGTCGGTGGTACCTCGTTCAAGAATCCTTTCACGGTGACTTATGAAGTAACAGATTACATCAGCGGAGGAGGCTTCAGTAACGTCTTCAAGATGCCCGATTACCAGGCAGGAATATGACGTCAACGGTGTTGTTAGGATTGAGTCAAGCGAAACGAGCATTCAAAAAAGTGCAGTGCATTCATTCCCACAGGCCAGTGCTGTCGCCGGATACCTGAATAGCGTAGCGGCGACCCTCCCTCCGAAGTCGTACTTCAATGTCAGCGGGAGAGCCTATCCTGACATAGCGGCGCTGTCGGATAATTACTGGGTGGTTGTCAGCAGAGTACCCGTGCCGTGGGTGTCTGGGACATCGGTAAAATTATTCAGATTGTTGTTGTTGTTTTGTGTATTTATTTATTTTTTTAACTTATGAGTGGTTGTCAAACCTTTTGGGTCCAGGGAGTTTTTTTTCCAAAGACCCCCTCACTCTCCTAAAGTCAATCAAATATGACTACCATGAGAGTGCCCATTTTTAAGAAAAAAGATCAAAGGTTACAAGAATAGTTGTATTTTTGTCAAGAAAATAAAGTTGCAAAGTTATGAAATTCAAAGTTTTAATTGAAAAAAATATTCTTCTAGGTTTGATTACGCTTTTAATTTTGGGGCAAAAAATAGCTTTATTCTCTTAAGAACAGAGTTAAAAAACTTAATGTAGGAATCTCAGATTTATGTGCTGATACATCACAGTCATGTCAAGGCTTTGAATTGGCCCAAAGCAAAGGTCGGCAGGAGTAACTTGTTCATTTTGTTTGTTTTAGTGGCACACAACTTCTAAGTATGCCCCTTTTTAATGAGATGACAATTTCAGTCTGAGAACCACTGATATACAGTCTTGGTTGGGGTAAATCTCAATGACCATTTCCGCAAAATAAGTTCCCATACTTCGCTTTACAATTTGATGATCCTGACCGTCACTCTGTCGAATACAGAAGTTGTGAGGTCATTCCTCTTTCAGGTCCTCGCTCGGGGACATTAATGGATGCTTTTCAAAGTGAATTGAGCAGAAAATGCGAAGCTCCTGTTGCTGCCTGCATTTATGTACAAGTATTGTTTTTGTGTCATTCCAGGCGTCAACCCCGGTGGTTGGTGGGATGTTTTCTCTGATCAATGACAAACGTCTGATGAAGGGCCTTCCCGTTTTGGGCTTCCTCAACCCTCGCCTCTACAAGCTCAAGGGACAGGCTCTGTTTGATGTCAGTGAATTTTCTGCTCCTCCAACCTCTATTCTACCTTCTAAAGCTTGTTCATGCATCAAATTGACATTTTTGTTCACATTTGACGTTGGGAGTTCAGCTCGAGTAAAATAGAGTTGTAATAAGCGAGCGTGAAATGCTTGTCTGAAACATACCAGAGGATTGCGTGGTGTTGTGTCTCCAGGTGACTGAAGGTTGTCACCTGGCATGCCTTGATGAGCTGGTACAAGGGCAAGGATTCTGTGCGGCACCGTCGTGGGACCCGGTGACAGGCTGGGGAACACCTAACTACCCTGCGCTTCTGGCTGCACTAATAGCTTCGTGAAGTCAGTCAGGTGCTACTTACAGGACAGGTACCAAACATCGACACATTGTGTAGTCATTGTGATCGATTGCCAACGCTGTCTGATTCATTGACTCACTCAGGTCTTCAGTGAGATTTTATCGCTCAATATACAATAATTTTTAATTTTTTTTTTTTTTTTTTACCTAGGGTTGTACATTTTTCTGCAAACAATTTTGGAATAAGTTAACGAATGCTCACAGCAATGTGACATAGGGCTGCACAATTATGGCCAAATTGATGTTGATCAGTATTGTACTGGTAATTATGATTATTAGGCACAATAATTAATTTGGGAAAACGTATTTTTACCGCACTACTTTTCAACCAGCGTGTTAAGAGTTTTCGAGGCTAAATGAAACTTTAAAATAGAACGCATTAAAATTTAACCCTTTCATGCACCCTTGTGACCTGATAAGCTGTCCACTATAGTAACCGCTGTCCCTGAAAGGTTTAATAATAATAATAGAAAAAAAAAGAAAAATGTGCCAAGGGGCTAACTGAATAAATGCGCCGTCTTCTTTAACATAATTTGCCTTGTATCCGAAACAAGTGCAGGCAAACGAAGTTGATCCCTTTCAAACTCGCCATGATTTATCAGAATGCACTCTCTTGTTATTCAGGAAGCCAAATGAAGCCTGAATCATGCATTCACTCACTTGGTGGTTGGCCGACTGCTGGTAGATGACAAAGTGCTTGATTATATATGCAGCAGAGCCCCCAAATATCACCTAGGATGAGATTAATTTAGTCATCGCAGCCAAAATCATTTTCCCAATTAAAATTTGAATTATTGTGCAACCCTAATTTGCTATGCATACACAATTATACACGGATACATAAGTGGTAGGCGGTAGTGTTTTACAGCCATAAAGCAAGCAAATCACTGGAATAATAGTAATTCAAAATGTGCTTTTTTTTTTTTTAATATAAAGTGCCACTCCCAAAGCTGAAAATCAAGTGCTGCTGTTTTGTGGTGTGATGTCAAAAGATTAGTTGGTTTGTGCCAAATGGTTGCAGTACTGCAAATAAAACAGCTGCTGTGCAGTCGTTTTTGTTCATTACTGTGACTAATAAACAGTATTTGTTGTGGATTGGATTCGTTTTCCAAAGACATGCAATTGTGGAAGTCAGTGACATACTAAGAAAGACAATGTTAAGGAGAAAAACATTTTAATCAGCGATCTCTATGGATAATCACATGGTTATTATCTACATGACTGATATTACATCGTACAAAATGAAAATAATTAAATTCCTCTTTTTCAAACACGCTCGCATAGGGGGAAAAAGTAAAACTGAACAAGAGCAACAGCGCTTCTGTCAATCAGTGTACAATATGCACACTTGGGAGGAATAGAAAATTGAAAAAAGGGTCACTGCTTGCTGAGGAGCGTTGCAAATGTTTGACTTTCACTGTAAAACATTTCACCTGACTGCGTTCAGGTATAAATAAGAGAATCAAGTAGAAAGAGTTCAATTCGAGTAGCGCCAGAGTCGGCTCGAGTTGGACAGCCTCGAGCGTCAGTGTTCCCATCTCCACGCATAAGGACAAAGTCTTTGTCGAAGAATGATACAAAGGGCAATCTGTTTGATATCTCACAAGCAAGCAGGCTGCACGGGACATCAATTGTCCGTCATGGAGACGCCGTGTGGGTCCTCCAGTGTATGCTCGTGTCACCGTGGGATCCGTTTACTGATTGTTCTTTGCTTTGGCATGTGTGAGGATGTGAGACTTGAGGTTGGTGGACTGGGCAAATTTCTTGTTGCAGCCGTCAAAGGGGCACACGTACGGGCGGTCGCCCGTGTGGATGCGCACATGTGTGCGCAAGTTAAAGTCCAGGGAGAATCTCTTGCCACAGCCCTCAAATGTGCACTAGAAATGAGAAAAAAAGTTAACGTGGTTAAACGTCATAGTGTTTCCCTAGAAGTTCCAAAGCCCTGTCTAATATAAAACTAATGCTTTGGCTAAGTCAGTGCCAACGAACTACAGTATGTTCACATGAGGAAAGGGGCTTTTACTAGACAGGCCAAAGTCTTAATACAAAAATGGTGATTTACCACCATCTTATGGCAGCTATCAAGCTTTTTAAGGGGGGCGTCAATTCCAGGACCCTTTAATAGCAGAGGATTACGGTCATATTTTGAGGGAATTATGCAGCATTTTATAATAAAGCGCTGTCTTTTAAGCCACACTATGCAGCCACAGTTTGGTCAGAAACTAGTGAGGCTAGTGCTAAAATCAGTTCAAAGCCTTTTACGACTGAGCTCTGATCGGTTTTAATTGTGAAGTCTGTGTCCTGTGTGAAAGGAGCCAATGTATACAACTTGCTCACCCCATAACTAAAATCGTTCACAAGATTAGGCTTGTTTAAAAAACCCCGCACACAATCAGGGATGTTCTCATGTTTAAGGCTGCATGTGTCTCTTTGCTTTGTTTTTCTTTTTTTTCCTGCAAAGTGTAAATGTCACAGCACTGTGTAAGTGTGACTGGCTTTTCAAACCTCCTGTTTTTCCTCCATTTACCAAAGCCGATCCAAGGACAGGCACTAGGAATTTGCTTTTGCTCTCAGAACTACGATCCCCCAGTTTGAGAAGCATCGCTGTAGAGAACGCTACAAATGAAGAGACCCACCTGGAAAGGTTTCTCTCCCGTGTGTACAAGTTGGTGTCTTTTCAGTTTGGAGCTCTCCACAAAGGCTTTGCCGCACTCGGCGCAGACGTGCACACGAGGCCCGTGGGTGTGCAAGTGCTTCCTCATTGCAGAATTATCTCTGAACATCTTGGTGCAGCCCTGAGGACAACACACATTGGATACCCGTGCAAGTTTATAACCTACCATATTCCATAATTTATATCATACTATACTTGTATCGGTACTTTTTTGTTAGGATAGAAATAAAAGAAAGCAGTAACAAGTTAAACAACAGTGAAAGTGAGTATTGCCAATTAAATATTCTCTAAATATGCTACATTCGTGTAGGTGTGCCCATCACTAAAAAAGCTACAGAATTGCAGACGGCGGCCTATGGGGCGATGTGAAGGCTACTCTCAAAAGGAGTTATGCATTATTGTTAACTTCCCAGTTGACAATTGTGGAGTTAATGACGTGCAATTTGGGTGTGTGCACGTGTTTCTGTATTCAAAGTAAAGAGCATTATCCAAGATGGCACCGTAGTTGTCAGCTGTCGACAAGAGCTCATCAAGAGCTTTTGTTTTGTGCTTTTGCTGTTTTTGTCTTTTGTTTTGTCATATGCTGTTTGTTGTCCTTTGTGTGGACTGTTTTCAGTGTTCTGCCCACGACATTTGTCGAAGGAGAAGATTCTGTGCTTGATGGGTGCGCCCTCTAGGCAGCACGCGTGTACCAGTACTGATTTTGAATTCGCTTGCATGACCCAGTGAGGTACGCACCGCTCATGTGCACAATTACAACAGCGCACAAAGTCTACACATGACTGACATCGATTTAATTTTCAATATTAAAATCTTGAATGTCATAATCTAGATATAATAATGAAATACCACCCAGCCAGAGTAGCTACACAACAGATGAATTACTTTAGATTGGGTGAATTATCAATTTTACCTATTAATTTGAATTTGCGTGTGTTAATGTTTTTGAAGAAAAATGACATGACAGATGAAGAGCAGGCCACCCACTTTGTGTGGACAGGCTATCGTCCGGGGCGCGTCATCCTCTTTCACTTTCTTTGGCTTCATCCTGGAAGTTTAACACAAAATATGATCATGATCATGATTTGACTGTGGATAACGCTTCCAGGGTATTTCGAATGAGCGCATACGTACCTCGCGAACTCAGCCAGCTGTTTGGGGTCAGAGAGGTCGATGCCCGGGATGCCACCTGGAGGCAGCTTCTTCCCCGTCATGTACTCTGAATAGTCAGGAGGAGAGTTTTCACCCGTGATTTGCTCTTCATGGTCAATGTCCTTCTTGTCATCTAAATCACATAGTTGTAATTCAATAAATGCAGATAAAGACAAATGGACCCCATCACAAAGTAAAACACTTGTATACTATCAGGTGTGTGTGTGTGTGTGTGTGTGTGTGTGTGTGTGTGTGTGTGTGTGTGTGTGTGTGTGTGTGGTGGTGAATATCAGAGTTGAGCTCCGGTGCATTTAGAAGGAATTTAGAAAAAGTAATCCACACCTTTGTTACAATCTCGCCTGGATTATTGTCGTGCACTTTATTTTGGCCCAAAATATTGCTGCTCACCTCCTGCCTGATGCTCGTAGGAGGGAGCACAAAACTCCAATGATGGACTCCCTTCGCTGGCTCCCTGGACATTTCAGAGTTAACTTTTAGATTCTTTCATTTGTTTTCAAACCTTTAATGGTTTGGACACACCTAACCTCTCTGAGCTCCTCCAATACTACATACCTGGCTGTTGCCACGGGTCTATGGACCAGAAGGTACTGAAGGTACCGAGAACTAAGTGGAGGCACAGAGGTAATTGAGCCTTTTCCAAAGCCGGTCCCTACCTTTGGAATGACCTTCTATTCAACATTAGGCAATTCCTCCTCTCTTGTCAATTTTTGAAACTCAAATTACAACACACTTTGATTCTATGGCTTTTGACTCAACACGAGGCTCGGTGTTGCTGTAGTGTGTTATGGTTTTTGGTGTAATAGTGTTATTGGTTTGATGTTTTTCACCGTCTTTGCTCTTGCTTGACTGATTTTCACTCCATGTACATACTTTGTATGCAGCGATGGTTGTTTGACATTGCTCTCTAAATAAAGTTGAGTTAGAGAACAAACTGTGCACAAAGTTTTGATAAATAACATTCACCTTTAAAAGTACTAGTGTATTTTAAGGTCATCTTGAAATGAAAAACCCCAACTCCGAATATTCCTAACTTTTTGTGGGCAGTCGATGTTCCTTGCCTTCAAAACAGTTGGCAAACGCTACTTTGTATCGTATGCAAGATGCATGACTGCCGAACGTTAACCACGAGAAGACTACTCTTTGGAAAACAATCCAGAGGGCTAGTTTGATATAATTAATACCTGAATCTACTGCATCATAATCAATCATTATAAAATATTTGTTTCTGCGTTTCCATTCATATTCTAAAAAGGTAGTCTCTATAATCTGCCGGCGTTTGACGTGATAAACAGTGAAGGTTGAAAAAGGATAAAAACCGAGGGTCATTGAAGGCACCGCTTCCACCAGAATGAAGTGCGCCATAAAAGCCTAGCTACAAGCTAGCGGATCCGGGAGTGGGGCTGCACTCGCCGCCATCTTCGTGGGTCAAATAAACGCCATTTTTTCGGGCCGCCATACTTTCTCGACCGGGGAAATATGGCGGCGCCCATCGGTACAGAAAACATGGCTTCCCATAAAAACAAAAACACTCCAATTGAAGTCCAAGCGGTGTTTTCGAATCGTAAAATGCGAGTTAACTTTTGACGGAGGACAAGGCCTCGGTGGAGGCCTCGTAACGACGACACACACACATCGAGAACAAAGCCATTACAGGAATTCACTCCAAACTTACCCGAAGCCCACATAGTAACAGAGAACTCTCCTTCCAACGTCTTTATCTGCACTTGCTTCTGTTCCCATTTCCTACCCATGTCCGCGCTGCTTAGATAGCTCTTTTTGCCCGATTTCTTTCCACTTCCAGCCCTCTTGATTCGGCCGGCTGTTGAGCTTCTCCCCGCGACTGTGACGAGAGTCTGTTCGATGTAGTCCTCTTCCACGGCGGGCACCGGGATGAGGATTTGGTCCTGGTAGCCGTCATCCGTGTGCAGCTCCGAGTCGTCCTCCCCCACGACCTCCTCCCGGGTCTGCACCAGAATCACCTCTTGGTGCGGGAGGATCGAGTGCGGGTCGTCCGTGTCAAGCGTTTGTAAAGCGATCATGGGCTGGTGCTCGTCGTCATCCCCGACAACAGTTGTTTCGATGGTCTCCACTTCGATCTCGTGCAACTCCACGATTTCGGCGGGCATTTCCGAGCCGTCCGCCTCAATGTACAAAGTGTCCCCCGAAGCCATGACTTGTTATTCCGTTCTCGTACTCCCCTCCACCTTCGAACGCTTTATTTAGTCCAACTGCGACTTCTCCTCTGTGTACTCTGCAGCCTCCTCCCTCTCCGACAACTCACAACGTGTACTCTCGTCGCCACTCTGCTCCACTTAGGAACTCTCGCGTGATTTTGGTCATACGTAGATAGGTAGGTCGGTAGTTAGAGAGATTGATGGATGTTTGAAGAAAAAAAATACAGTACTACCATTCGTGAAAAGGTTGTCTGTCATACACTTACAACAAAGGTTGTAAGACAATTATCTTGTCAAATGTTATATTCTCATTTGAGAAGTAATTCTTAATTGTATAGTTTGATCACTTATGATGTATTGTTCGATGTCAAATTAAAACGTTTTTCACAAGTTATTCTTTTTTTCCAGATTTGCACAATGGAGGCTTCAATAAAGTGTAAATAACCCCACAAAATGAAAAAAAAAACGTTGTCATCTAGTTTACACACTATTACACTCACCTCAATTTAATAAAGTGGAAATATCGCCCTCAAAAAGGTGTGGTGGTTTAATATTTAGTGGTGTTTTTTTCTTCACCAATTAAAGATTTTTTTTTTAAATGTAAAAGTGAACTTTGCACTGGAAGAATAAAATCCAGTGTGTGGTTATGATGTAGTTTGTTTCAAATCCTCTGTTTTGGGGTTAGGTTTGTCGATCTTTTTTATACATGCGTTGAGAAATGTACCACGAAAAATATTAAGAGCAGGCATTTTACACTTGTGCACATATTATGTCCACACCAAATACTGTGTTATTTGGCATCTCATTAGGAAATACGTGGTCCTCTGTGGCTCTCAAGTAGCACTGCTGAAAAATTGTGGCAACAATTATTTTTATTTTTTTGTTTGGAGGCACTTGTTTTCGCCCTCAAACAAGCGTAATGTTACAGGCACGTTGGAGCAGGTGCAGCGCCAAATGGAGCAACGAGGGGAGGAGACGAGAGTAAGGTGGAGGTGAGCTGAATTGACACACCTGCTGAATTACGGCGTCCTACCTGTTCGAGTGGGCGTGGTCAGTGTTCGCCTGTGTGTGTGTGTGTGTGTGTGTGTGTGTGTGCGTGTGTGTGTGTTGTACTACAAGTTGGAACGGTGCGGGCTCGGCCAGCTACACCGCACTTCCTCGCCCCACTACTTGCCTCCACTCCGTTCCATTCACTTGGCCGGGGAGGACGACATGGACAAGACAGGTGGAAGAGGCGACTTCGAATGGGTCTATAACGACCAGCCACACACGGCCAGGAGGAAAGAGATACTGGGTGAGTGAGACATAACGCGGTCAAGGACACGCGAGCATTTTTTTTTGGTTAATCAAAAAAAAAAAAGTAACAAGTGCTCTGATCCGGTTAAACCAGTTTACTAGCTCTTACTCAACCAGTCATCACTGCTCACTAGATGCAAAGAAAGTGAACGCCACCGGGGATACCTGCATGAAGTCACTCTTTACCTAACCTTTATTGAGCACATATTTGACATTAGAAAAAGCTCGCGACCAGCGACGTTTGCAGACCCTCTTGGGGCCCGAGGACAGAAGGAATCCCCAGGCCCCCCACCCTGAAAAAAGGACATTGGATGGGCAAAAAGTCGAGATAATAGTTGAGTTTGGACAAATCAAATTACTTTGCAAAAAAAAAAGAAAAATGACATAAGTAATGATATCATCTTGTTCTGTATAAACAAATTCAAACAGGCTTATCTGTAGTCTAATATTATAATTGTCAGTCGTGTTTGTTTCTTTTAGGAAAACAAGACAAAACGCTATAAATTCAATGAACAAAGTAGAGTCGAGTTGCCTCAATTCAATCTTATCTATCATGGAGTGCATAGATCTCCACAGGCAGACATACACATTTTTTAGCGTATTACACATTTTAAGTGTATTATCATTTTTATTGATACTATATTGTGATTGTAAGTTAAAACAATACTTGTCAGGTAGCCATTTACATTTTATTTTTGCTTTGTCAAAAAACTCCCACAGGAGTTTGACCCGTCTTTTCACCCAAGTTGCACAATGGCAGCATATTGCAGCCTGAGCCAAGATAATGCTTCTGAGCTGGCTTGGTAACAAGGCACATACTCTCTATTCTTTACCCCTTGGTCTGCTCTTGACAAACACACACACACACACACACACACACACACACACACACACACACACACACACACACACACACACACACAATTTTATGCATGAGAAGATGGCGTATTGGCAATCAAATGACCACAGGTCACAAGAATGTCCACGATGTCAAATGTGCTGACTCTATGTGTAAACCACAGCTGTTATCATGAGTTTATTAACGCAACCGGCTATTAACACGCCACTTTTCACAAATGATGTCATCATTCAAATTTTAGCTCAAGACTGAATTTGATTTTTCTTTGCTTCCCTTTTCTAAAATGTATCTTGTTTCGCAATAGTCCACTAATCCAGTGATTCTGAAACACAGTGCTGTGTGAGTCCAATTTGACTTAATTTGCTATATATAATTCATATTCAACAATACAAATACTTTCTTTCATCACCTGGCAGAGAGTACAATAAACCACCTGCCATTCATAAAACAAAATAAGTCATAAAGTATGGACATTTTGTTCCATTAAAAAGGCCCAGATTTTACACTGAGTAAGTCAATTAGCGAGTAAATGATTCTTTGCCATTTTTGTGACTTTTTTTTTTTGTTTGGGGGGTGGAGGGGGGTTATACTGTGAGCTTTTTGTAATGGGTGCCTTGAATTAATACATTTTGGAAACACAACTGACGGTGGTGCAGTAAGATCTAAATTTTTATTTTTGCCATTACTTGTGTGGTAGCATTATTAAAAAAAAAACAATTAAAAGACGGGGAGCAAAACTGCTGAGTGGGCTTCATTCTTTTTATGCTCACTGAGTTTAATTCTTAGGATTTGAGTGTTTGACTTTTTCCCAAATTGCCTATTTTTCCAAATTGGCGCCAGAAAAACACCAACAGTATCCTTTTTTTGTTGTTGTTGTTATATTTGCAGGTGTGAAAGAACACAATAGGTTGCTTGACACCTCGAAACCATTAAATATTCAAGGGCTGTATTTTGAATCCCCCTCAACCCTGCGGAGTGGAAAATCCAGAAGGTTATTTTCGAAGTTATCTCACATTATCATGTGGCTATTGTGATGAGCGCTGACTGTTCTCTGACGGCAACATTTGTTGTTTTCCAGTTCAACAATGCTTGGGTGCCGTGAATCATCCACTGTTAACGATCGGATGAAACCAGAGGATGACTTCCACATCCTACACGCTAGATGAGCTAAAATCATAGAAGTCAAATCCGTGCTTTTATGACATCTGGTTATTCATTTAACTTCACGCCCTACGTGGATGGCATAGCGCACACGAAGCAAATACAAAATGAAACATTTAGCAGCATGCCTGTGTGACAGAACAAACAAACAAGGCCATTAGTGGTGATAGTGCGTCATGGCCTTTCAAAATGAATACATTCTTTGGTTGGGGTTATGTGTATACACTCCGAGTTTTATTCATCATTCCTGTGAAAAAAGGAATAGTTGCAAGGAGGGCAATTGAGTTAAATATTAACACTGTTAAGAAGGATCGGTCAAATGAAAGGCAGATCGTATCTTGGGACAGAAATGCCATTCAATCATACTACAAGTCTTGGTACTTTTCACTTTAGTTTATTGGGTTGCCATTCAGGTTTTTGGTTCATGTTGGAGCCATTTAATCTGTCTTTGAAGGACTTTCGATCAATGGGCCAACGGATGTTCATTATTTTTAAAACCACACCTATGTTGTCATGCAGGTGCATCTCCCAAAAAAAAAAAAAAAAACGCACATCCCCAAAAATTACATTGATACTTAAGCGCAATCCTAAAACAATATTTTTAACAGAAATGTCAGACTTGTGGTATGTGCGTTCATTTCCAGGCAGTCGATACTTGGTTGGGCCTCCTTTTGCTTGAATGACATCATCCGTTGGGCGTGGCATAAAAGCAAAAAGCTCGTGGCACTGCTCAGGTGTTGCAGAAGCTCAGGTTGCTTTGGTAACGGCTTGCGAGTCATCCGCTTTGTTGGGTCTGGTGTCGCTTATCTTCCCCATGACCATGCGAAATGAATTGATCCTCTATGGGGTTTAGGTCAGGGGAGTTTACTGGGAAGTCAGTAACACACACCAACAGTAACCAATGAAGATTTCTACAATAAGATTTAAGATTTCTCTTTTTATATATGGTGTTAAATTTCCCCCATTCGAAGCGTGCATCAAAATGTCAAAACCTGTTTTCTGAAAGGGTCCCTTGCTACTTACTGAAATGGGAAGTGTGTGTGCGTGTTCCTCAAAATCTCCAAACAAAATACACGAACCGTTCAAATATTGACTTTCCAATCAAGGTTGCCTCTCTAATGTTTTTCGTCACAGTTCGTCAGCAAAGGAACAACTTTGCCAATTAAAATAAAAAAAAGAAGAGTGGGCAGCTTCCTTCAACTCTTTTTGGACATGTCAGTCCATTGAAGAGTAAACCAAAGTAAATTGTCAGTATTGGGTTGCAGATCCCTCGGAAAAAAATAAAAAAATTGCATTTCATTCGATGTCAGACTTTTTTTTTTCAAAGTAGAAAACAAATTGACAGGTAGAGGAATAAGTTGTATTTCAGTGATAATATTCATCTTTCTATGAGTCTGTTGTTGTTGTGCAGTCACCTTGAAAGCCTCACAAGTCGCTCATAAATAAATGATTTTATTATTATTATTAGTTTGTATTATGGGTGGTCTGACCAAGGTTTTCGTCCCTTGATTCTGATACAGATCACATGGATTAGCTGCACATTTATCAGTTTTGGAGCGGCATGCTAACGATTATTTTAAAAATCAATTGATGTCAGTAATTTTCACGATTCATTGATGAATCAGATTTAAAAAAAAAAATCCAGCATAAATGTCACCCTTTTATGATACAAAAACAATACATTGTACTTGGGCTGGTCTCTAGTTCGCTGCAGGCAGCCAAGTAGGAGCTGCGGGAGATCGTTTTTTTGTGTTCGACAATGAAAGGCATTGATATACATAAACAAATCACGTACTTTTCTACGGAAATTGGGCAAGCACGATTCGTGGCCGACAAATCAGAGCACTACTAGTTTGTCTACATGGAATGATTACTGTCATATTTAGTCCCCTAATGAGCCATGCAACCAGTTCGGGGTCCGTCGTCAGTCGCGGGGCACATGTGGAGACGGACAGCCATGCATACTGGCATTCCCTTAGTCAACAATTGGGAAGTGAATCCGCAATCAGATCAAGGCACCACGAAACCATCAGAGACCCACTTTCCAATCATGTACTGTAATCTGAACTGAATGGTAGAATAGTCTCGTATTTCAAAAAGTTGTGTTTCTGAAAGCTATGGTTGAAATATATTTACATTTGCACGTTACGACTTTTTAGCTACCAATGACCATGAGAGCTTTAGTTTGCCTAAGCAATGACTTCTCAAATGGAATGATTTCTTCGGTGTTCCCCACAGCCAAGTACCCAGAGATCAAGTCCCTGATGGGTCCGGACCCCCACCTGAAGTGGGTGGTGTCGGGCATGGTGCTGTCCCAGCTCCTGGCCTGCTACATGGTGCGCGATCTCCCCTGGAAGTGGATCTTGTTCTGGGCCTACGCCTTCGGCGGCTGCATCAACCACTCGTTGACGCTGGCCATCCACGACATTTCGCACAACGTGGCGTTTGGCAACAAGCTGGCCAAGTGGAACCGCTGGTTCGCCATGTGGGCCAACCTGCCCATCGGCGTGCCCTACTCGGCCTCCTTTAAGAAGTACCACATCGACCACCACCGCTACCTGGGCGGGGACAAGCTGGACGTGGACATTCCCACGGACTTTGAGGGCTGGTTCTTCTGCACCCCGACCAGGAAGCTGGTGTGGCTCTTCCTGCAGCCGTTCTTCTATACCCTGCGCCCGCTGCTGGTCAACCCCAAACCCGTTTGTAAACTGGAGGTCCAGAACTTTGCAGTCCAGCTGGCGGCCGACGCCGTCATCTACTATCTGTGGGGACTCAAGCCGGTGGTTTACCTCATCGCCGGATCTATCTTGTGCATGGGACTGCACCCCATCTCTGGACATTTCATCGCCGAGCACTACATGTTCATGAAGGGGCACGAGACGTACTCCTACTACGGAGCGCTCAACTTGATCACCTTCAATGTTGGCTATCACATGGAGCACCACGACTTCCCAAGCATACCTGGCAGTAAGCTACCTCAGGTGAGTCCTCATATTGGCGATATGACACGTGGCTGCCATCGTTTTGGAATTTTCACTTCCCCACTTTAATGCCTCTAAAATCTTGCACAACAAACGCATTCACGAAAAACAATTTTGACTGCTGAAGTGCTTGAAGCCACACTGCTTTTGTCACCAGCTATCTTCCATTCGCACTAGTTAATGCTGGGCTTACATCCAACGATTTCCACAGTCTCAGACTAAAAACTGAAAATCAGAAGGAAGTTTAAGAGTTTCACTGGCGTCACGGCCAGCTCCTGTTATCGTGATCATTTAGTGTGAGATGATCATCTCAACTTGTCTTTTCTTTGTCCGGGCCTTTTGATAAAATCAGACGTGTTGGATATTATCACAAGTCATAAGATCCTTGCGTGACGTGACGCAAGCAACAACCAATAGTTGAGCGCTCACAAATCCGGAAGCGGGGAACTTTGCAAAGAATCGTGAGAGTGGCACGGACAATGGGGAAACACCGGCAAAAAAATAATGGGAAAAGTTTACATTGTCGGGAAAATAATGCTTGAAGAATCGAGTTGTCGTATTGTAAATAATCCTTTTGCAAAATCTCAGTCTGAGACGAGGTTGTGAAGAAAAACTCTCTGACTTGACTTTACGCAAGAGCAAGTGTGAGATGATCGTTTTCCAAGGGTCTTTTCCACAAGTTTGTCCTCTCGATGCAGACTTTGATGAAGTCTGTGCGTGTCAGCAAAACCATACAAGCATGCTGTTGGGCTTCATGGGTTCGCCTGCGTGACTGGGATTTAGGCGCGGCCCGTCGTGGACTAAACTAAACAAAAAGGTGTTCATCAGATGAAACGTCACACCGGGTAACTGATTAACCAATACCGCTTGCGCGCCTTTGTAGCACAAAAAAACGGCTGTGGGCTGCATGTCAAGAGATCACATCCACAATGAAACTAATTGTCTGTCACGAAACCTGTTGGACCACAGCCTTTTTTTTTTTTTTTTTAAAATAAAGAAACCGCCAAAGTCATCCATGGAACAATGTATGAGGAAGTGAACGCAACCATGCACTGACTACCTCAGTTCAATGTATTCAAAGTGCACACGCCTCATCCGCCTCTCCAACAAAGAACTCCCATTCTCTTTCCATGTGCATTTGCATGTCAACAGAGTCACTGGAAAATAAGATGCCTGCAGTGCTTTGTGAATCGCCCAGTCGGTCATTTTCTGTGCATTTGCATGTCAACAGAGTCACTGGAAAATATGCCTGCAGTGCTTTGTGAATCTCCCAGTCGGTCATTTTTGATGGCGCTTGTCCTCATTAGGCTCACGGGTGAGCTGGAGGCTATCCCAGCTGACTTTGGGCGAAAATTGAGGTACACCCTGGACCGGACGGGCAATAGTAAAACACATTTCGACAAACAACCACTCACACTCACAACCACACTTCAGGAGAATCAAGAACAAGTGGTCATTGAAGGTGAGATTAACTTCTTGGGAACTAATTTATATGAAGGGATATCAGTTTGACACGCACCTCTGAAATAACAAATTTGCTCCAATGTATTGGGTGTCAGTCATCTGAACGGAGCCAAGGTTCAAACCCAGAATGTCTTGACTATGAGGCAGGCGTGCTAAACACTAAGATACTGCGTGCTGCTTGTTTAGTGAAATCGTGCACCACCATTTATTTGTTTTTGTTTTTCTTTTTTATTTCCTCAGCCACCCCTTCCAATGAGATCAGGAATATTTAATACCTTTGAATGCATTATGGAATAAATAATAATTGAGTAAAACATTGGCTTGTCCTGACAATGATTCAATTTAACATGAACAGTCAAGCAAGTACAAGTTAGGGATGGCCCAATTAGGCTTCGGCCAAGATAGATTCTGATTTTGGCTGAGTAAACGAATTAACGAATGAAACTCGTATCTCAAGGCATCACTGTATGCTCAAATGAAGTTACTAGCTTGTTTATGGAATGAATTAAACCTGCAAGGCAACGTATCAGTCAGAATTAGAAGCTATCTAACCATCGATGGCCTGCCCCATCTGGCCGTTTAACAATAAGTCAATAAATAAATGTGGCTCTTGAGCACAAATGTTTTCCCACCCCTGAGTTGGTGCGACAAGCTCACACAGCTTTAAGTCTACATCTTCACTCTTTACTGAACCCTGTCGTTTGCGCCTCCAGGTGAAGCAGATTGCGGCCGAGTATTATGATTCCCTGCCTCAGCACACGTCATGGATGCGCGTGCTGTGGGACTTCGTTTTCGACGACACCATCGGCCCGTACGCCCGAATCAAGCGTGAATACAAGCCAAGCAAGCTGGAGTAGAGCAGACGCGTCACTCGTCCCAGGAAGGGCCACCGCCACGACGCCACAACGTGGCGCACCGCAGTCCGCGTGATGTTCACCTTCAATTGTCATTTCCTTCTTTCACTGTGCACCAAGTTCCACTTGTTCCTGTCATGCAATAGAGTTGACCTGTCATGCCATTCGAGACTACAATTAATAGCATTCAACAGTGAACATTATTTTTTTTGTAAGGTCTACATTTTCATCTTTTTTTTTTTGCATGAGTACTGTTGTGTGGTTCCTTGTGCTGCCTCTCAGTGTGATGTCAGATCTTACACCTTCGTAGACCTTTTCAGAATGTTTGGAAACATTGGGTGGCAAGGTACTTTCGGGGAGAAGAAGGGCTATCGCTGTCTTGAACTGAAAACGACGACAAAAAACTTGTTTGGGATTGCGCTGCAATTTGTTGAAAAAAAAAATGACAACCCTAAAACCGAACCGAAATGAATCCAGCAGAACCTAAATGGAGTGGATGATTGCAAATGTAAATGTAGTTGCCAGGACATTCTTTGAAATGTAATAAAATGGTTCCTTGGGTTGTCGTGACTTGATTTATCAAAACAATGGCTGGCCTAGTAGTTATCAGCTCTCCAGCGTGCTTTCCATTTCAGCGTTAAAAAACAAACAAACAAACAAAAAACACGTCAGCGCCATTAATCGAAGCAAAACCAAACAATTAGCCAGTCCTGGAAAAGTGACATTAAGTTTCACCACGTTTAGTTTGGAATCAGTTCAATTAAAATGTATATTACAGCCAGCGTTCTGTCTCCCTTTCCTCACATAACATATTTTCCCACTGACACTTAACACAATAAAAGTGTGAGGGAAGAGGATAAAATCAACGTTCAAGACATTTACACTGTTTCTCAATAGCTGCGCCTTGGTCAATAGAAATGTTTATTTACTAACTGCTGACATCTGAGCTTTTGCTGCCCGGACGTACGTGTAACGTCATGCTGAAGGGTCTTAAATGATGCGTTCAGGAGTACAGTAGTAAAACGAGCACTGAAATGCAAGCGCTTGGTCCCACTGGTGTCATTTCGGCTTTTTTTTTTTTTAAAGGCTCACCATGATTACTCTGTTTCAATGACGATGCTGAACTTTACTTACCTCAACTAGAAGTTCAGAGACTGGAGTCGCCAGTGATTGCATGATAAGAGTGAGAAGCCGAGTCAGAGTCCCGAAACGTTTCATGATGACTTAATGCGTTAGCGCGAAAGGATTGTGCTCGCGATCAAAACACTTGGGCTGGATCAGACCTGCTGCGGGCCTACGTGTACTGTACTATACTATACTATATTATACCTACATAGATTGTGTGACGTTGTTGTTTCTATTTAAATGTATAAAGAAAATAAACATATCTTGATAAAAAGATTACTGATAAAAACATGCCTTTTGTGTTTTTTTTTTTTTTGTCATCATTCTTTTACTTACGACTTTACCCAAACGAGAAAGGGGAAGGGATCATTAATTACCATGCATACATCCATTTTTCACCGCGAATCCACAGTCGGGTCGCAGGAGCAGCTCCTTACTATACATGGTCGTTTTTTTCGGCCAAAAGCGTCTGACTATACATGGTCGTTTTTTTCTGCTAAAATTTTTGGCTAAAAACGCCTTACTATACGTGGTCGGTTTTTTTTCAGCTAAAAACGCCTTACTATACCTGGTTGTTTTTTTCTGCTAAAAATTTCGGCTGAACACGCCTTACTATACATGGTCGTTTTGCCTTACTATACATGGACGTTTTTTTCGTCTAAAAACGCCTGACCATACATGGTCTTTTTTTTCGGCCAAAAGCGCCTGACTATACATGGTCGTTTTTTTCTGCTAAAATTTTCGGCCAAAAACGCCTGACTATACATGGTCGTTATTTTGGGCTAAAAATTTCGGCCAAAAACGCCTTAATATACATGGTGGTTTTTTTCGGCCAAAAACGCCTTACTATACATACATGGTCGTTGTTTTCAGCTAAAAAGGCCTTCCTATACATGGTCGTTTTTTTCGGCCAGAAACGCCTGACTATAAATGGTCGTTTTTTTCTGCTAAATATTTCAGCTAAAAAAGCCTTACTATACATGGTCATTTTTTTTTCCAGCTAAAAACGCCTTACTATACAAGGTTGTTTTTTTCTGCTAAAAATTTCGTCTAAAAACGCCTTACTATACATGTTCGTTTTATTCCGCTAAAAAGTTCGGCCAAAAACGCCTTACTATACATGGTCGTTTTTTTTTTTTGTTTTTTTTTT